TGTAAACATTACAGACCTGAATGGTGTGTTATATAGCACAGCTTTAGGTGTGTTTTAAAACACGCCATGGTGTGTATAAAAACACGCCATGGTGTGTATGAAAACACGCCATGGTGTGTACGAAAACACGCCATGGTGTGTTCAAAAACACACCTTTATACAAAACACACCTTAAGGTGTGTTAAAATCTGGACAAGCCGAAAACACACCTTAAGGTGTGTTTTAGAACACACCTTAAGGTGTGTTAAACACACCTTAAGGTGTGTTAAACACACCTTAAGCTGTGTTACAAAACACGCCAAAAGCTGTGTTAAACACACCTTAAGGTGTGTTTTAAAACCCACCTTAAGGTGTGTTAAAATTTGGACAAAAAGGTGTGTTAAATTAACACACCTTTTTTTAGAGTGTATCCTTCATAAAACCGTACATATTAATTCTGCACAATAAAACATAGCCATTTAAGGTGTCCGCCTACAGTCGGTGAGAAATAACAGCGAAAAATAAGGTCTTCACAACGACGCGTAATAATTTGCTATTTATGCAAAATAGGGAATTTTTGAAAGTTTATATAAACGCTTATATCACACTTGTGTCGGTTTTCTTTGTTCGTTCCAGGTTTATAACTAGCTTATAGACCTTGAATAAATGATTAGATTAAACTTGTAGACAAAACGCGAGAATTTTTCATTAAAAATTTTTGAAGCTGACAAAATATGTTAGAAAACCTCCACAAGTGTGATATAAGTTAGTTATAAACCTCGAAAGTCGGTTTATAACTGATATATTGCCCTCGGGCGCTACGCGTCCTCGGGGGCAATATATCAGTTATAAACCTCCTACTCGGTTTATAACTCTAACCTATTGCAGTTTTTGTTATTATGTCCGACTAGATATTCCCTTTACCGCTACCCAATTTTAGAAACTTTGACGGAAGGAATTTTAAAAGATTCAGTTTTAGTGTAAATTTTAATGTCTGACTACTTTCGCTTGGCTCACATTGTTACAATAGCAACCCATAATTTGACTCGTTTGAACGAAAGTACTTCGAGCATAAAGATTGCACAAGTGCAGTTATAAACTGAACTTTTGAGATATCACAAAATATGTTCCACAAAAACTGCTATATAGCAATTTTTAAAAATTGAATTTATTGAACTATATGAGTATAATACTTTCAAAAAACAATATTTCAGAAAAATTGACCGAAGGAATATAATTTAGGCTACTACACTTTAAACCTAGTGGGAAAAATTGACCGAAGGAATAATAAGATACTGCACTTCAAACCTTGTGAGTCGCGATGAGATTCTTGCTGTCGCGATTCTGTTTCAAATTTAAAAGCTCACTTTTTGCGCATGCACGTCATTCATTGCGTGAAACACGCACAGAAACACGGGCAAAGCCTTTTAAAACATCTTTAAACACTGCAAGTTTGACATTTCATCTTTTAGACTTTTGGAATTATCGTGTTTCCATTTTACTATCATGTTTTCACTTCTACGTTCAACTGCAGGGAGCCACATTAAAGATGATAAATAACGGAATTTTTTGTATAATAACATTCACCTTCAGTATATTGTATACTAGTTGTCCTATGTTCTCCTTCATTCTGATCTGCAGCTTCGACACAGTTTCTCATCTATGAAAATAAGATTTACTTTGATAAAAATATTATTTTTGAACACAACTTCATGTTACAATTATTCCGATGTTGGCAGTCTACGTTCATCGAAATTCAGCATCCTATACGCTATATATGCGAGATTAAATCCCGTTCGGTTCAACTTTATTTCTGAAGCACAGCTGTTCTAATGTAAACATAATTAGAATAAACATGGACGATAAAATTTATAGAAGAAGCTGCTCCTTATATATCTGCTATAATAAATGTGACGTTTTAATAACATTTATCTATTATCGGCTGCGAATAGGCCTTTAAAGTTAAACATTGACATGCGTATTAGAATAATCTCATATAGCCTACTAGAAATACTTGCATGCATGAAGAAACTCCCTGCCTTGCCAGCAAAACCATTATATTTTTCAAACATAAAGAATTTAGAATGGTTGTCATGGTAAAACGTTCGTATTATTCTTTGTATTTTTTGCATTGAACTGAAACGCCCAAAATATCTCTTTTAATTACAATATTATCAATATCCCAAATACATTTGCAAGATATAATATAATATAAGCTTCAATTTAATGTAAAATTCAACCAAATTAAAATGTTCATAAAACCACATGTAACTGCGTTGATCGACAAACCTTATCGAGTTTGAAATAAAATGATTTCAAATTCTCGCATGACAATAACTTTGCTTCTAGTTCGGAAGCTTTTAGTACTATACATACGGATATTATGTCACGGATATTTCTCAAGAAAATAAAACGTGTTATATCCTTGGTGATACGAACCTGAACCCCATAAACAATCTGGGAAATGCCTCAACTGGGAAATTCCTTGAATCTATGCTTTCATTTATGATGCTTCCACTTATAACTAAACCATATATATATATATATATATATATATATATATATATATATATATATATATATATATATATATATATATATATATATATATATATATATATAGACAAACTTGAATTACAAGACAAACTTGAATTACTTCATATGAACTTTATTTCACTATATTGGTATTGAGCACTCTACTCATATATGATTCCAAACTCGATACTTGTCTATATATATATATTATAGACAAGTATCGAGTTTGGAATCATATATGAGTAGAGTGCTCAATACCAATATAGTGAAATAAAGTTCATATGAAGTAATTCAAGTTTGTCTTCTAATCTTATATACATATATATATATATATATATATATATATATATATATATATATATATATATATATATATATA